GTCCGCTTAGTAAGAGAACTGCATCCATGTCCTTTCCAAAGTTTAGGATAAAACATCCTGACGTTCTTCTTGAGAGCTTGTTCACACCATGTTTGGACAGGGTCTGGACCAGAACAGTTTGTTCCCGGACCAAAAAAAGCATCCCAATGTAGCTCTATAGTATTTCTGGGCTTTTGTTCACACCAGCGCAGTCCGTTTCGGTCCAGACAAAAAAAAACAATGCGTCTTCTTTTCTCTGGTCTGGAATGCAATGGAACGCATTAAAACTGCATCCAAACAGACTGGACTGCACTGCGTTTGCAGATCTGCTCCAGACATGGTGTGCTAATAGCCTTACACAGCTCTAGGAAGAGGATGGTAAAGCTGGGCCAGGCTCTCCACCCAGTTTTCTGGTTCAAGAGCCTAGCCCATCCTAATCCTGCTTCTAAGCCTTATTTACTGGTCAATTTCTCTATGGGCCAATAGAAAGGTTAAGAGCAGGGGTCTCAAACCTCCGGCCCTCCAGCTGTGGTACAAATCCCATGGGGCATTGCAAGATTCTCACAGCCACGACTCCCGAAGAGAGATGCATCATGGGATTTGTAGTTTCACCACAGCTGGAGGGCCGGAGGTTTGAGACCCCTGGTTAAGAGGGTCAACTAGCACCTGTGGATTTATAGCTGAAGTGATCCAATAATTACCACTAAGGAAGTTGAAGGTGTCTGCTACTGCTTGTGGATTAGGCACTTGTTTCCCACTTCCGGTTGATGGTCAAGCATAAACTGAAAAGTGAAAACAACACATTTTGGCACAAAAGTAATGTTTTGTTAGAGCTCAAAAATCTTGGAGCACCATGCAAAATGCAGCTTGGTGATCTTGCTAAAGCTGGTATCCCTCAGTTTAGTTGCATTTTGAGCACTGCTCTGCAAGGGTGAAGCATGAAACTCTTGGTCTGGCACAGATTCCTATTATGATACCTGTAAAAAAGGAGGACATGACTACGGTTCTTAAAGTCGCCAAGGTGTGTAAATCCTGTTATTTCATTAACAGTAGTAAACAGCATTAAGTACAAGTATTGGAAAAGGGGTTTTCAGTATGATAAATAATCTTCAAACCTAATGTTGTTATAAACCGTAAGGGCAGAAATACAAGCCATATTGAATAAATGTTTATTATGAAGACATTTGATGACACTGCTGTATCAACCCAAAAGACTAGGCAGATTATTAAACACATTTCTGTGATCCTTAAATTACCCAGCAACAGTACATCTTGAATATGACTAATCAAAATGTAAACTATAAAAGTAGTTCATAGACAATAACAAAAATAAATATAGACACTTTATCAGAACTAAAACACATTTAAAGTACAAGTTCATTCACCTAGATATCCTACAGCAGATATCATGCTAGCAATTTCTTAAAATAAATGTGGATGCAGATGCTCTGTCCAAAGTTTGAAAACAAAAGAGTAAAAGTATACCCAACTAAAGCACAGTACCAAATATTAATGACTAGCTCTTTTTTGTTTTGTTTTAGATAAACCAGGGGAGGGTTAGAGCCTATGCCAGTTTTCATTGTGTCCAAATTGGGGGAATTTCCTCTCACTTCCTGTTAGGACAGGAAAGCATGGGAAACTTCACCAATGAGGACACTAAAAATAACAAATTCACATTTTTGTTCTAGGGAAGGTGAAGAACCTTATACAATGTTTTTTTCATGCTGACCAGGAGACAAGTGTTCCCCCATTTATTACATGGGCATCTCCGAACAAGTGAGGGAGATTTGAACTCTTCCCTACTCTATCCAAAACAAAAAGACAAAATGTTCTGGAGGTCAAGTTCTGCACAGGTATGGTTTTCTACCTATACATTTCAAAATATTACAAGTAATCCCTTTTGTAATGTATCTTGTGTGTTAAGTTTTGCCGCTAGAGTTCCCAAACCTTACCTCAATTACCATTAAGGCCGTTTACACCAGGGCTTTTTTTCCATGCTGAAACGCAAGCAAATTAAAAACCCATGTATTCCTATGGGGGCCATTCACACAATAGCACGTAAAAATACACCTGTTTGGATTACAAAACTTTTGGTGTGCTGGTGACCTCTATCTACCAATATTTCAAAATGCTCATTTATTTAAAACGTCATGTCATCAGAACTATGGCTTTCGGGGCCATTCAGGATTCCCTTCATCAGGCTCAGCAATGACCTGATGAAGGGGACCCTGCGTGGCTTGAAAGCGCTAGTTTTGATGACATGATTTTTTAAAATAAACAAACACTTTGGATTACAATACTTTTGGTCTGCTGGTGACATCTACCAATATTGTCTGGCGGAACCATCCACAGTCATTACAAGCACCCCCCTCGTTGAATTGGGGTTTTCCGGTAAGGAGTTCGGCAAGGGAAATCTAAGTTTGTTGTTTGGAATAGTCCCTAAACTTCTTTTCTGGCACTTATCAGCTCCCTTTGATCCATAGACTTCAATAGAAAGCGCCGATCAGCGCATTTGTGCATGGTTTTTAGCATGTTTTTGCAGCCGAGACTGCTTTTCAATGGTCAACGGAAAACAAGCTTAAAACACGCCTCAAAAAGCTATTACATGGGAACAGAAAACATCTGTAAAACGTTCTGAAACAAGCATAAAAACATGCCAAAAACCCCTGGTGTGAATCGGGTCTAACGCTTTACATTTTCAGCTCCTGCCATCTGACAATGATAAAACTTTTAAAAATGTTTAGTAGGTTTAGTGATCTGTGACAATGTAGTCTTGGAGAATACTACATACTTGATGGGACAGGCCCAGGGAAATGGACAATGATTCGCACTGTAAAGTGGTTCCTACAGGAATGCTGTGCTAAGACATATCTTGCAGCATTTATCAAAAAAAAAAAAAGAGGGATTAGTCAGCATAGTTGTCTGACCGTATACGCTGGCTGTTGTACAATGTTTTACAACAGTTAAAAAATGCACTGATGTTCAAAAGGTGCAAATGATGTAGTGATAACCGCAGCCAACTGAAAGCACCCTAAGAAAGCAGCAGGTAAGACCTTTTCGAGCCAGAGACATTTTAACTTAAAGTAGTATTAAACTCTCAATCTTTTTTGAATCCATACCAAGCAAATATACATTGCCCAGCAAAGTGTCCCCTTACCTTTTTTTCCCCCAAGCACTTATAGTCATCATGTTCCAAACAGCTGACTTGAACTCTTTCAGCTCGGCTTCCCTGAACTTCCAGTGCAGTACAAAATCACAAGGGACAGAGCAGACTCCAGCAACTGCCCATCTACTAGCTTGGAGAATGGGGAAGGACGGAGCATGGGGCAGGGCAGTGACTGTGTTTATAGAGACAGGTTATTAGCAAATCACAGGTTACTAGCAAATCAGTCATGAATGAAGAAATCACCAGCACTCCTGGGTTCCAAGAATGTCAGACCTTGCTTATTGACATCCACCAATCAAGTCTACAATGTATGGCAATGTTTCGAAACGCAAAAGTGGTCTTCAGGCAAAGTGACTGTTTGTCTGAAGAAGGAACGGTTGTGCGCTCAAAAACGTTGCTATACATTGTGCAACCTGATTGGATGTCAATAAACAAGGTCTGGCATTCTTGGAACCCAGGAGTGCTGGTGATTTCTTCATTCATGACTGATTTGCTTAGGGCGTCATCCGCGGTCACTACAGCACCCATTTCCAGGTTTTGGACTGCGATGAGTTATGGGCTGCACAGGTTACAAGCACACACAAACGTGGCTCCATAGGATCCTGCAAGGGAAAAGAGCCACCCTAAAACAGGATATCAGAGCCAGTGATCATGGAATCAGCCAATTCTGAGCCCCTGAAACTAAAACTTAAAAAAGTGCATTCACACCACATCCAGATTATCTCCAGACCAGATAGTTTCTGGACCCAAAATGCATCCTAATGTATCCCTATGCTATTTCTGGCCTCTGTTCACACCAGCACAGTCCGTTCCAAAACAGTCTATAAAAGTACTGCAGGTCTAATTTTGCCTGGAATGCATAGAAACGCATGAAAAATGCAAACACACTGCAACGCACATGAAAGCCCATTTTAAGCTATAAAAAAAAAAAACAGCTGCAGAACGTGGCAAAAACGCAATGCACTGCGTTCCAGATCTGGTCCAGAAAATGGTGTGAACCTGCCCTTAAACATCAAGGAGCAACATCAATTGTAAGTGATTTAAACAGCATTTGAAATATATTAAAGAGAAAACAGATTTAAGCTAACTTTAAAAATCACAAAAGGAGATTAAAAAAAACATGATTTGGAGCAGATAACTGCTGCATCATCTTAGTATAGAGCTCAAGAAGTAACACATCAATGATGTCTTATATCATATTGCTATCTGTGTCCCATGCTGGGGAGATTCACCCTCTCATTTTGTCTTGGTGACAAACAGATGGTAAATCCAAAAATTCAGTTGTCACCAACACAGAAGTGTGGGGGGCAAGGGTCTTCCAATGGGGACACCTACCCACATGGGAATTTCCCCTAACCTTGGAGCCAGTTTTCTCTCACTTCCAGTTGTGTCTTTGGAAGACAAAGTAAAGGTAATCTTCCCCAATGAAAGGCAGACAGCTAGAAAGAAAAAAAAAAACTAAACATTCCATATACATTTTTTTTTTTAAAAGAAAAAAGTTCTGGCTTTAGATATACTTTAAGAACATTTTGAAGAAGAATGACCAGCCATAAGCTCATGTCATTTCAATCATAACTGTTTTTTTATTTTACATAAACTTATACATATTTAGATTTCCTTCTATACGATGCTAACAAAACACAAATATGTTTTAAAACACTTAAACAATATACACAATAATGAATCCTCTAGTGATATAACCAAAATTTCTCCTGGAAAAGGAACTCAACCCAATAACTAGCAATACTTTAATGCCATCTGGAAGAGCCCATTGCATAAAGACATGTGATACTGGGTATTTCTGCATTTGCTGCATAATTTAGCAAGGATATTACAGATCATGATATACGAGTACGTCTTAAAATGTTTCCATCTAGAACCTATTTGTGTTTTATAATTTCAACCCGGAGTCATTCTGGCATCACCAAGCTATGCAAGTCACAACTTATCTTTTATTTACAAGTATACAGAAAGACAATATTTACAAACAAGCTGGAACTTTTTTTTACAGAAATATGACATGGTGGCAGAAAAGGGAGGTTAAGGACATAATAGTGTAGAAAATCCTCTTAACTCAAGGAGTACCATTTGCCACATTTACGAGCCAAATAACCTGAAAATTAAGAACAAATAGGAATTAACCAATAGCAATAGGTATGTACTAGACATTTCATAATATATTTTGCTGCAAGACCATCATTATTAACAATTGCAGAAAAAAATGCTACATTCAGGGATGGGGAAAAAAAACAAACAAAACAAAAGACCATGTAAAGCAAGTTACATTCTTTACATTTGTGCACAAGCATTTAGTCATCAAGTTTCAAAACAGTTGGCTCCGATTCTCTCAGCTCGGCTTCCCTTAACTTCCTGTCTTGTACATGGTCACAAGGGACAGATCAGTCTCCAGCAACCCTCCATCTACTAGACTGGAAAAGGAAAGAGGAGCAGGGATAAGAGCAGTCCATTTACTAGCCTAGAGAAGGGAGGGAAACACACACACACACAGCTTACTAGTACACCATAGGACTCTGCAAGGGAAAGGAGCCACCCTAAAACAGGATATTAGGGCCAATGCTCAGGGGAGCAGCTGATTCTGCAGGAAACAAACGTTTAAACATCAAGGGAGCAGCATCCGTTGTAAGTGATTTCATCAACATTCGAAAATCACTTAAAAACCTTATGACTTCAATATCACATTAAATAGGATTGTACAGTCCAATAGGCACCAAGGTTGAAGCCAGTGCTTTCACCACAATCAGTGCATAGTAATCGGACTGGTTAGACACATCCCTTCCCCTTCTCTAAAAGCCTGTACAAGTCTAAAAAAGCCTGAGGGGAAAAAAAAGGGTATTTTAGGGACCTTTGGAATCGTTTTAATACAATTGTTTGTGTTTGGCACCTTGAAAGTCCCATATTTGTTACATATGTCATTTTAAGAAACATAGGTATGTGGTGTCTCAATTATCAGTCAATCCAGTTCACTATTTGACTTTAGGGAATTTTCAAGCAAATATCAGTCACAAATAGCATACAGGGATACAGAACTATATTTAAATAAAAAGGTCTGAGACTTTAACTTGGCTTTAGCTGCTGCAGGCTCACTTACAAGAGCATGGTAAAAAAAAAAACCCGGAAAGCTGAAGTGCAATGTGCAGTTACCCACAGCAATCAGATTACACTTTACTAGAGTCAGGTGAATTCTAACTTGCAACCATGGGAAGCTGCATTTTGCCTTCCCAAATAAAGGCGCTTGACAATAAAGCATCCACCATTTAAACATACAGGAAATATGTCAATGAAGTGCATACAGGGGATTCAGAAGATAATGTCATTTTTGTCACTAGAAAAAGAAACAAAATAATGCTATGTACCAGGGGGGTAACTAGAAATCACAGGGCCTCATAGCAAAATCGTGTATGGGGCCCTGTGATTTCTAGATCAGTCCACCTGATAACCCAAACAGCCCACCTGAGGGTGACCCTGCAGAGCCCACCATAAACTCTCTATGGTGAGCTCTGCAGGGTCTCAGGTGGGCGGTAAAGCCCTCTTACCTGTCTGGCCGATCCTCTGTCCGCTTCCTTCTCCTCCACGATCGCTTGCGGGCCCCGCCTCCTTGATCGCCAGGCCCTTCTCCCCATCGTAAGACCTGCCTCCTCGATCACTGGGCCCCGCCTCCTATCGCTGCCGACGACGGGCCCAGCCACCCCCCGAAGCTGCAGGCTGTCATCGACTTACTTTGCCCCAATTGGGACAAGCCTGGCTCCAAACAATACCTGCTTGCTTTCCCAGTGTTTTGGTGTCTCAGATGTACTGTAGAAAGGGCCTATGTGCGATGCAAGACCCCATTCACACCAGATACCTTGTGTTGTCATTCATTTTTTTTAACGGCAGGGGCACGAAAAAATTAGTGGGTGTGAATGGGACCAGTATGCTCTTCTTTTTTTCAGCGCAATGTAATATAAATGGAAAACAAATTTAATCACAACTGAAAATATTCACAGATGTTTGTCCACTCAGGACATGCTAATTAAAATAAAGATTGGCAAAAAAAAAAAAAGAAGACAAAAAAAAGGCAATGGTGTTTGAAACTGCAAGTCAACAGACCCTCCGCTAACTTGCGATTTCCTTTTGATTTTGGAGTGAACAGGCCCTAAGTCCCACCACACTTTACGATATAGTTAGATGGTATATTAATTCTTATTGTATTCCTGTTTACTCCAAAGCAGAAGCCATATGCTTATGGAGCAAGGTCGAAAGGAAAAAAAATGTTGCGTGAGCTCATTCAAAAGACCGGAAGATCTTCCAGATGAAACAAGCAAAATGCTATAAACTTACATAAATCTTGTACAAAATGATGCCATATCATTTTGCTTCTTTTTTTTTTGGAACCCTGGCAAATGGAAGCTGAAACACAACTAAAAAGGACAATACAATATTTTAAATTATAAAAAGGGGAAAAAAGGAAACCTCAGAGACAAAAGGTAAAAGGGAAATAATACAGCTGGCCCCACACATTACAACTGATAATTATGTATTATAGTACAAGGGCCCCCAATTTAACAGTGTAATGCACTCTAGTAAACCCATCAAGGCTTTAACATACTGTGCAGTGTTTGAATCGGTTTTCCATTCATTAGAAAAGATCTAATCATATATCTGTAAAAAATAAGTCAAGGCAACTGGACTTGCTGTATTTTTCTTGAAGACTTTTCACTGGACATCCAACCAGCTTTCTCAATTCAGAATGGCTTGTAAACCCGTACAAGTCATTGAATTGAGAAAGCTGGTTGGATGTCCAGTGAAAAGTCTTCAAGAAAAATACAGCAAGTCCAGTTGCCTTGACTTATTTTTTTACAGATACACCATGACCTGGATGAATGAGAACCTTCACAGACATGTAATCATACAGTTTGTGGAAGTTTATATTCAACAAACCTAGGTAAATCTGAATTCCTGCATACAATATACCATCATAAATACTGTACAGTTGCTGAAGATGTTAGGGGGATCCTAGTCAATAACATACTATCTGCTTATACTTACACAATCATACAAAACATCATAAAAATGTTCCACAAAGCAATGAAGATCCGGAAGTATCGGAGGCTGAGCAGGAATTCACGAATATTGTCTCCTGAAATAAATGTAAGAAACAGAATATGCGTCCAGATTAGAAAAATACTTATACAAGAAAAACACGATCTTGTCATTTTTGTTTTGTTTAATTGACTGCATACAAAACAGACTGGAGGAAAAAAAGTAGAAAATGTGGTTTACTTCACATAGAAATTAGGGTTGCACAGATACCAAGTACAGTACTCGGTACAAGTATGAGTACATGTACCGATACTTTTGAGCTCCATGACTACACTAGAGAAAAAAATTCAAAAATTAGAGAGGCAGCTGTCATGTGTAAGGAGCACACGGGGCTCCTGGGATTTGTACATCTCTGTTTTAATGTATGATTTTGTTTGTATGAATATAAATAAAGGGTTGCACAGATACCAGTTTTGCGAGTACGAGTACTGGTACTTGCGAAGTACTTACAAGTACGAGTACTGGTACATTTTTGCTTATTGTCATGTGACAGTTTTTCTAAAACAATACAGACTAATGATTTCAGGACAGTGGTGGAGTGCTAGAGCCAGGTCCCAGCTGCAACCCTGGTACTTCTCATGAAAATGCCAAGTATCTGCACTGGTACTCGAAAAGTATCTGTGCATCCCTAATAGAAATGATAAAAGCCAATAGATGACCAAGCAACGTTAGTTTCTGATAATTGAATATTTTGTAGTAATCGATAGCTACTCCAGGGGAATTATTTGTTATAATACATACCAACAATGGTATGCCTAGAAACAGAAATAGTCTGTGCAATACATGGACAGTAAGGCTTGATTATTAGACAAGGGCATTTCTCATGTTCATGTACAAATGTGATATCACAGACTGTATTTGAACTACTCTTGTCCTGTTCCACAAACACTAACTCAGAAAAGAACACTAAACAGAAAAATTACTAAGCAGGAAGAACATATTTTCCATGAAATGTTAAACTAAAAAACACATTCATTCAAGTACCCCAACTATTAACATAAATGTATCTTATTTGTGCATCACTCAGCTGTAGATCAACAAATTATCTCTGTATTCATGGTGACACTGTCCTTCCTTCTGGAGGGTGACTACTTTGGTTCTCCATGTCCCTGTGTGTGTGTTATAAAGTAGCCACCTCTCCAAGCTTGCTCCCATGATTGAATACAAGCTCACATTTGGTTTGCCAATTTGTATTGAAATTTTAGTCCATCACTAGTAGTGAGCTTGGGGTGGTGGCTACTTTACAACACACACAGGGACCATGGGGAACAAAAGTAGCCACCCTCCAGAAGGAAGGACAGTGTCACCACCAATTCAGAGACGATTTGAGGATATACAGAGTGATACACAAATAAGATACATTTATGTGAACAGTTGGGGTACTTGAATGGATTTTTAAGATGTAAAGAACTATGGGGTAACCTTTTTTCCCATCGTTTTCTTTAGGGTTGACGGGAGGACATATACTAACGTCCTCCTGTGACCCAAAACTCAGTATAAAGCAGGCTATTACCCGCTATATGCTGAAAGCGCCGCAGCCGGGACAGATCCCGACAACACTGTCGAGATCCACCCAGCTGGCTGATTGACAGCAGACATTGCCTATCTAGAGGCAGCTATGGCCGGCCGACTCCCGTCCCTCCAGTCAGCGCTGGAGGATCAGAGAGGCTCCCATAGTTCTCCTTTAACTCCTGAGTTTAGTGTCTCTAACTTATTGCAAGGAATTAATGGTGCTCCAAAACTCCTAAAATTATTTTTAACAGGCATAAGCAAATGAAGTCATTCTGGAATGTAATCGGATGGAGTTTGTATGTTTTGAGTACAAACAACTTAAAGAGAGCCTGTGAAGATAGAAACATGGAAGTAGGATGCGGAGCAATCATCTGTATTCTTTTAATAGTGGACCTGGTACAAGCATACAGGATGAGAGTTAGGACTTTTCAAACTTCACTGTAAACCAGAATCAGCATGACATGTCATAAGCCTGCTCCTTTTAAAATGAAATCAGCTTCTAACATCACCAGTTCACTTTAAAGTAAATAAAACGGACCTTCACTTTTAACTCCTAAACCTTTCAAGACTTCACTATAAATACTAGTACTAGAATCTGTTTTTGGTCTTGATTGACTTTGGTCATCTCTTATCAATTCAAGAGATGTCTGAATAAACTTCATCCTTTCTCCAGAAAACAATTAAGCTAGACTCCATGCAAAATGCTAAATACAAATAGAAGTAGGATCTCACCTGCCAAAGGATTGTAGTTTTGTCCATACCTTTCTGATATTTACACAGCCCTACTACATAGCACAGCCAGCCTGGTGACCTGATATTTTTTTTCTGCCGTTAGGCAACATAGCTCTCGTCCGTAGTCCCCTCCCTGTCATCCACCTGTAATTGGAGGGTGAAGGAGTAGCAAGAGACTAATGAGGTCACCCATTTGCTTCCTTTCCTGTCAGTATGTTCCTTGACATTATTAGGGTTAATCACAAAAGGGTGAAGAGTTTGGAGAAGACAGGAGAAGTGACCAATCTAGGACAACTTAGCTGAACTGGAACGTGAGCTGAATTGGAGAATCTTTCCAAATCAGCTATGTTGTCCTAGATTGGTCACTTCTTCTGCCTTCTCCAAACCCTTCACCCTTCTGTGAATAACCCTGTACATCTAAATACAGGATATATGGGTGGCTCCAAGTTCTGCACCTCCCTCTCCTAGTCAGAGTGCTGACAAGGGATTACAAAAGACTGAAATAAAGCAAAAAATTCAGGTACGTATACAATTTGCATTTAAAAATTATTTTTTTGTTTTTTATTAAATACATAACTTCTATACCTGCCTGAAGTTCTTAAAACTAAATAGATGAAAACCCTTGGCAGACGTTTCGCTATTTTTAAAAACAAATGGAAACATCTTATGGAAAATGCAATACAACAGAGGTCATGCGGGTAGGTCCTATTTGTTATGGAAAAAAAAATAACATATAGCTTTGCTTATTGTTTCCTCCTACAAAAAAAAAACCCAGCAAAGGGGGAACACATTAACCATATGTTACGTACCCACATTCAATACAGCGCATGTGAAAAGCTATTTTAAATCAGCTCTACAAAGAACACAACTGCAGGAGAAATTAAAAAACAGCCAGCAGCAGGCCAAATCTAGTCAGAATTTAGGTGCACAAAAATATAATCTTATGTGCATTGCTTGGTAAATCTCCCCAACATCTAATACGTTTACATGAAGGTGTTCATATTCACATTTATATCTAAAAGAGTTTAAAAAGCCTGGAAATTCCCTGTAAAGTGTAGGCCCTCACATTAGTATCCAAGGGAAATTTTGCCAATAGGATTATGTTAAGTATGCTTACATCTTATCTGCTGAACATCTACCTAATGCTGCACAGAAAACCTGCTTTCATACAAATAATGTGCAACAGCTTGCTAAAGCCGACTAAGAGAACATAATCTCTAACCTTCAAACCAAAGTGTCCCTACCTAGAAGGGGTACAAATACATCTACGCAATTACGAAAAATAAAAAAACAAAAGGAGGATTGTATTTCTTTTTTGAGGCTTGCTTAGATGTGTATATTGTACACTCGGAACTTCATATTGTACAATATTTGAAGTATTACAAGAATATTGCCGCAAACAAAATCATGAGGAACTCTTCAAAATACAATCTTCTTGTTAAAATTTTTACGCATCAGATTGTCTTTGAAGAGGTTTCAGCTGCTTTAGAAAACACACTCTATGGATCGGCTGATTTGGTAGGTTTTAAGCATTGCCTGAAGTACAAACATAAGGGTGCTGTGCAGACTACAAACTGCTGCCCAACCTACCTTCTGAAATAATTGAGAATTTCAATTTCTCATAGAACTATGGCCCTTGCTGCAGCACTTAAAGAACAACTCTCCACAAATGACAAATTAACCCTTGCAGTGGGGCTACACCCACGCTGCAAGGGGAAAGTGCTAATTTTGGTCTAGGGTCTAAAATAATAATGAAAAAAAAATAATATATAATCACCTGATGCTCAGACCCTTCTGGCTGCTAGACTGGTCCCCATAGGTCTCTCTTCCCCTCCGGTGGTGGAGTGTCCCTCAGTGTCCTTATGTCTCATGACACTGGTCATCAGACTGCCGGAGCGGAGGGGGAGAAAGACTGAGGGAACCAGTCTAGCAACTAACTGAGGATCAGGCGAGCATATATTTTTTTAGACCCGGGACCAAAGCGAATCCCGCAAGGATTAATTTGTCATTTGCCCAGAGTTGTTCTTTAAAGTAGAAGAAAAGGCAATACAGTCACCCACCTTTTAACCCCTTCGTGACTGACGACGTACAGTGTGCGTCGCCAGCATCGGGATGCCTTCCCACTGCCCTATTTCCTGCATACAGTTTCCGATAAATCTCAATGTAAACTACCTTTAAACTTTTCCCAAACATGACTGCAAAGCTCCAGCAAGTGTGTCTGCCTGTGCACTGCCGACAATGCTGCTGGATCCTTAAAGCAGCAACATTATCCCACCCACACCAATCACTTTTAAGCTGGCTATACACCTATAGATTCTCTGCAAATTTTCTATGGTCAGATGGAGAAAGTGCAACAGATTCCTCCATCTATGCTAAACTGTGTGGATGGAGGAATCGCCCACTGGTCCAAGCTTCAGTATCTTGCTAGTCGGCCCCCGCTGGCTCTCAAAATACCTGAACAATCCGATTGGATGCAGGCATTCAGGTGTTTTGAGAGCCAGTGGGACCAACTAGCAACATACTGAAGCTTGGCCCAGTGGGAGGTTCCTCCAACCATCGAAGGAGGAATTTTTTTTGCACTTTTTCCATCTGCCCATAGAAAATCTGCAGATAATCTATAGGTGTATGACCAGTTTAAGGCCTTGTCAGCTCTGAAAGAATTGATGCCCACCAGCCGTACAGACAAATTCCGCAAATGGAAGAAAACTCCTGACATCTACAACTCCTTCTGCACAAAAGCCACCCTCCTACAGAAGATAACAACAAGAGCCAGTGGAGATAGGTCTGTTGTCACATGGTACACCTCCCAAATGAACCCACAACCATGTTTCTCAGTAGAGCATTATACAGAAGAAACACCAATATATTTGGAACTAGTAATTGTAACTCATCTGTCTTGGGAAGTGGACTTACCTGTAGTTGCAACAGAAGGGTCATCACCAAATCCTTGGGATTCCTTTTTCTTTCTGTAAATATAAGCAGTGGTGAACTAAACGTTAGCTGTGATGTTTGACTTTCTGCTTCCCAAACAAACAACCAAAATATTAAAAAGAAACAGAGCTATTGAGAAAAAAAAATGTTTAGCTGAAAACTAAAATGAAAAACTAACCTTACCCTTAGATTCCCTCGATGATGGTTAATCACACAATTTTATCTTAGCAGTGCTAATGAGTGCAAACATTTTTGTCACAATGAAACAATGAACTTGAAGCCTTGCTAAGAAGTGAACAGCTGCTAGCGTGTTTTAAACATGCCAACATTACCAACACAGAATTATCTATTTAAAGGTTTATGCACAAAGCCTTTATACCAGGATACCCAAACCACCCCTGCATTAGGCACCGTGGATAGGGCTGCAATAAATTAAGTGATTGAGAATAATTTTCAACTATTCTCATTATCAATTAGTTGGTTGGATCCCCTAGCTCTTTCCTCCATGCTGGGAGGAGGGCACAGCAAGCAGTGGGCGGGTGCAATAACCAGCCTGCTATTGCAATTTGAAATGGCTAATAACAAGCTGGCGATTGCACCAGCCCAATACCCGCTGTATTTACATTCAGTTGCCATCTGCGGAATCTTGCCACTGGCAGCAGTCATTCCCTGGCTGAACCTATTCAAGTGCCATGTCCTCACAATTCAAATATTAAACAAAACAAATTATAAAAAGGTGGGGGAAAAAAAATGTTTTGGTTTGGCCTGACAAATTCTGCTGCGGGAGGAGCATTGTGATGCCATTCATTTAAATTGCACCGCAAATGCACCTCCAACCCACAGTGCGATTGCCCACATTGGAACGCACAGTAACGCAATGCTGTGCGTTCCAGTGCAGTGCGAGTGCAAGAAAAACGTGCATGCAGTTTTATTCTGAAGCAAACTTCATGTTTGTAACACTGCATTTGTGTATTTTAGGCTGCCATCTCAGACCTCCATCTGAAAAGGGTTGTTGCCTGGTTGTCTATAGCTTTTATACGCTCTGAAAAGCTGGCCTGGAACAAACACAATGAGTGAAGTCAAAACTTCTAACCCGCATACTTGCTCAGAGTGATCAACTTAGAAAGCAGCAAAGCTTCTGGATCAGCATAACAGCCAAATAATTTTAATTTTCAAAAGAAGCCAGCAATGGCAGCCTCTACACTTCCTCAGAATTCCTTTAACCCTTTTGCTGCTTTTCATTTAGGCACACGTACTAAAATGCTAATTTTTTTTTAACATGAAAAATCACATTTAAAACCCCCAAATATTATCTATTTTCTGAAAGCAGAGACCCTTTAAAACAAAAAAAAAGGTATTTATTTGTAAATTTTGTATTTAGCATTTATTTGTAAAATAGCAGTAGTGGCAATTTTCCATGTCATGTGATATTTGTGCAAGCATTCATAAAGCTATGGTACCCAAAATTGTCCACAGGAGACACTTTAAAAGCCTTTACAAGGCATGTATTTAGGGTTAACAGTGAATGATGAATTATTGCTATCAAGCTGGCATGAGCAGCAATACCGTATAGGTGTTGTGCAATCGTTTGCATATGCACAGACATCCAATGTATGTGTTTGTGTTCATACATACATGTATGTGGGGGCAAGGGGCTTTAAATATTTTGGGTTAGGTTTTTTTTAATACATCTTTTATAAATGTTTATTTCCCCTAACTTTGTTGCTATTACAAGTGCTCAGAGCTGAGAGATTTCAGGTTTATACTTTTCGGGGTAAATCAGCGAACAGATGCTTTATTTTTTCCCCTCTTTGACAGTTGTCACCAGAACAAGTGTCCTCACTGGAAGATATTCCTTCACCTCTTGTTCTACAGATAATTCTCAAATTTTGATTTCCCATCTCTTTCTGTGACAATGCTTACCAGGACAAATACGGTGAGTCTATCTAGCAGGTACATGGCACACACGGGCTCTAAGGCCTAATGCACACACAACGCAAGAGCAAAACTGTATATTGCGTATATGCACGCACTATATGCAATTCCAGAATGCATCATTCAATAGAAGTTTTAATGAACTGTATGCACGTACGTGTGTTTATGCGTGCGCGCACACGGGTAAAATACGCAGAAATAGGTTGCCCGGCCGCATCTCGGTTCCATTCTGTTTTTGCGCATCTTTACGCAGTGCAAATATATGGCTCCATACGCAGCTATGTGTATGGAGCCATTTATTTGCATATGGGAAAATACGCGCGTACCCGCATATATACGCAGCGTATTGTACGGCAATGTGAATGAGGGGCTAAACCTTCTGTACTATCTAAAGCAAAAAGGTCGTTTTGACCATACATACACTTTAAGCTACTTAACCACTAAAATAAAATCAAATTATCGTGCCAATATTTACCAACCCATGCCAAAATAACGGTCCAGCACTGATGTGCTTTGGTGTTAAAATTGCAACACTTATACTAATCAGTCATATACATACAACTCTGAAAGGTTTAATAAAAAAAAAAATAAGGAAATATAGTGCCGAGAAAGCCATTTAAAGATAGGAGACAAACATACAACAATGTAAAATCGTTCCACACTAAAATTGTATTTCACACCCAAAATAAACTGAAATCCCAGACAAACAATATACCCTATAAATCAGGACAAATAAAAGAATTTATTATGAATTACTTTCTGTTAGCTACACTAATTCTGTACATATTATTATTATTGTAGGGTTTTTTAGCATTTTTTCGAAAAGAAGAAGAATTTATATATGCATATGTCAAATCAAATTAAAGCCCATTTTGTCCTTTAAAAAACGGTATATAATATGTGTACGTGCAATCCATGAAAGATAGAAAATTATGGATAACCAAAAACAGCAAAAATGGCAAAATTTCTCCGGTCCCCAGAAGTGAAAAACATTGTCTGAAGCGGTCATGGAAGGGTGAAAGAACAAACAAAACAAAAAAAAACAAAAAAAAAAAACTTACCCTTGCAGTGGGGCTACCCCCGCATTGCAAGGGCTAAGTGCTCATTTTTTGTCTAGGGGATAGGAAAAAATGATTTTCCTTGCCTGATCCCTCTGGGCTACTATACCACTCCCCACAGCCTCTTTTCATTTGGGCTCTGGCTGATTAAGTACCGGTGATATAATTACACCATATGCAGGTCCATTGACCTGCATTAGATGTGAGGACACTGAGAGACATTCCATAGCTGTTGCGGAGGGCGAGCACTGACTGCCATGGAACCTAGGATCAGGTGAGTAATACAGCTTAATTTTAGCCCCCTAGACATAATGAGCACTTAAAAGGAGAACTATGAGGTGAGTGATTTCCATTCATCCTCATAGTTATAGCCGACCTGTGACAAAGAAGCTGTCACGGATCGGCTCTATTGATCGGGAAGTGAGCAGAAACATGCCGCTGATCCGCTCACTTCTCGATCGTCTCCCTGCAGTGAGCGGTAACCGCCAGTCACCGCATGGATTCCCCCCCTCCCCTCTCCGATCCTCCAGCGCTGAGTGGAGGAATGAGCGGGGAAGGGGTGGGCACAGCTGGCTTTGCCTCTAGATAGGCAGAGCCAGCTGTCACTCATGCAGCTTGGTGGATCTCAAAAGTAATGTCGGGATCTGTCCTGGCTGCTGAGCTCTCAGTATATCGCAAGCAATAGCCCGCTATATACTGAGCTTTAGTATACGTCTTCCCATGACCCTAAAGAGAACTATGGGGAAAAGCACTTACCCCATAGTTTTTTTTAACCGTTCCAGTGCGGGGGGAGGAGAAGCCCCACTGCAAGGGTACATTTTTTTCTTTACCCAGAGTTCTTCTTTAAACTAGATAAGACATTGTATTAAAAGAAGAAAGGAACAAGTGTAAATTAAACTTACAGTTTGAAGTTCAACACAGCTCCTGCATTGATAAGCAATGTCCTGCAATAAAAGAATTAAAAACAGATCAAAAAAAGCATGAAGGGGTATATAGATGTGAATGCATTCTGCTAAGCACTCATATTCCAGCAGTAAGCGAAATACTATACAAACTAGCGAGCTCAATAAATAAAATGACTGTTTATCGTTTTGTGTATAGGCAGCAGAAGCAGTCACTTAGTTTGGAATGTAATGGAAACTGCATTACCAGTAAGGGTAATCCTGTTCGTCAGACACATTGAAGGGAGTTTATCAAAACTGGAGCAGACAAAAACTGGAGCAGCTGTGCATGGCTACCAATCAGCTTCTATCTTTCATTTTCAGATCCTAACTGAACAAACGGAAGAGAGAAGCCGATTGGTTGCCGTGCACACCTGCTCCAGTTTTTGTCGGCTCCAGTTTTGATAAATTCCCCCTACTAAGAATTGTTCTTTTCAGAAGTCTCAGCAATGGCAGTTGTGACAGAAAGCAAGGAATGGTTATAAATGGGGGGGGGGGTATGGAAGACCAAGCCTTTTAGATTGCATCCTTCTTTTTAGTTAAAAACCCCAGGGAAAGCGTGTATGCAGTGGTGTCACAAGGGGGGGTGCGGCCCGCACCCGGGTGACACCATTGGAGGGGTGACACCAAAATGACTGAGTCATTTTGGTGTCAGCCCCCTCTGAAAAGTCGGGCGCTCCGTCATGGACCGAACGCCCGACAGTATCAGGAGAGAGGAGGGGACCCGGCGGCATACCTTATCCCGCCGGGTGACTGTCCCCTCCTCTCTCTGCCGGCGTCCATCACCAAGATGGCTGCCAGCAGGTATCAGAAGATCGCCACGCATGGACAGTGAAGTCTCGGCGGGGTGACACCCGGTAACCGCTCCAGGTGTCACCCAGCCTTGGACGCCCCTGCGTGTATGATTTAGTTCTGCAATTTATAAATTGTGTTCTGGGTCCCTGGGGGTCGGGATAATGGAGAGAAGGGTGGGCCATTATCCCATCAGCTCAGTAAGCTGTCCAGTCCAGGTTTTGTGGTTGCATCTGGGTAATCACAGGTGTAGCCCACGATTGTGGCTGCGAGTGTAAAAGGAAGACTGGCTTTACGCGTAGGAGACTGTTACCGAGCTAGGTGAGCTGGAGGATTGAAGCCTGCATGGATCTGTTTGTTGCTGAAAAGGACATTGTATTGGAAACCGCATTGGAGTACAGGAAAGTACTAAAGTTATGAAGTGTTGTGCTTTGCTACAAAGAATGGACTGTAATTCATGAACTGCAGACATACTTGTTTACTGTTTGCCATGGAAAATAAAGCTTTTTGAAAAGTCAAGTGGACGGTCTGGTGCTGTATTTCCCCTATAACACTGTGGTTAAGAACGGTTCCTGTTAGTCTACATATTTCTTTCACCTTCCTTCCCGGAGGGACTGTGCTTCATACTATTCCATTTGAACACATTCTCTGTCTACTTCACATGGCAGTAGCTCATAATGTTAACATGAATCTGGAACACAACTTATGACAGAACATTAAAAAAAGTTATTTGTACGTCACTGGAAGAGCTTGAACTCTCCAAATATTTCAGAGACGCTCTCGATTATTTATCTTCATCATGTGTATGAAAAATTTACCTTATTTTTCCGTGTATAAGACGTTACTTTTTCATTAGAATTTTTACCCTAAAATAGAGGGGCATCTTATAGACGGGGGTGAGAGGAGAACTGCGGTTGCGAAACTGCCGAAAGTGCAGAAACTTCGGATTGCACAGACAAGACAAGTCTTCCTCCAATCATAAATCTTTTGTACCTGATGTCAGCTGTTGCTGGGGAGAGTGGAAGAATACCGTTATCTTTCCTCTGCAATCCGCTCTCCCCAGCAACAGCTGACGCCATGCAAAAAAGATCCACGACTGGAGGAAAACTTATCTTGTCTCTGTAATCCGATCATAAATCTTTTGTACCCGACGTCAGCTGCTGCCGGGGAGAGCGTGTAGCCAGTGCCAGATCTGTAATGTCGGAGCATAACGTGATTGACTCAGAGGTAAGTGTGATGAATTATATCATTTAAAATATTGATTTCTGAATATTGGGTAAGAAAAGTCTTATACATAGGGGCGTCTTATAGACGGAAAAATACGGTATGTCCTTTCGAGATAGATCACACAACAGGTTTTGCAATGTATGGAAATATTGGCATGTTTGAGTAGTTATGTTATTACATCACTAAATAATGTCTATAAGGCCTCATTCACACTATCGCGCATACGTGCGTATTGTACCATATGCAAATAAATGGCTCCATACACATAGCCGCGTATGGAGCTGTATATTTGCGTAGCGTAAAAATGCGCAAAAACAAAATGGAACCGAGATGCGTCCGGGCAGCGTATTTCTGCGTATTTTACGAGCGAATAGTTCATTAAAATTTCTATTAGGAATTATGTATTCTGGGAATGTAAATAGTGCACGCATATACGCGCATAGACGCAATATACAATTTTGCTACTGCGTTGTGTGTGAATGAGGCCTTAATGTATAAGCGAACCCCCCCACTGGACGGTACACCACTGTGCTTGCTCATGGCTCCTTGACTACCTTCCCTCCTTTTCTATTAATCTGTACTTCTATTCCCTTTCTTCCTACTGTTCGCTATCGCTCTCCCCCTCTTTGGGGACGTTGTTGGTATTTACTAAATACGTATAAGTTGTCTATTTTTTACTTGTTGTGCACTCAATACACCTGTAATGCCTTATTCTGTTTGTTACTAACTAAAACCTGAACACTCCAATAAAAATCTATTGATTGGAGAGAAAAAAAATAAAAAGTTATTTTTGTGCCTGCTTTCAACTGCAAAGCACTTCTCGGTACTACTGTCGGGTGGCTCATAAACACTGTTCAGTTTATCTGTGTGATTTCTCCCACTGCAACACGGGTTCAAGTTCATCCAAGCCCAGAGACAAAACTTGCAGTTTACTAGTCCTTAAGTGTGCTGGATGGATTAATTTCCTTTACCTTTAGGCCTCATTCACACTGCCGTACAATACGCTGCATATAGATGCGTGCAGCGTATTTTTACTTATGCACATAAATGGCTCCATACACATAGCTGCGTTCCAGTGCATTCGGCCTCTGGAACGCAACCCTCCCGACACACTTTGTTTTGGGGCGGGAGGGGGCACGGCGGTGCATTGAAGTCAATGGCACTACAGCCACGCCCCCCCGCCCACAGTGCAATCGTTGGCACCCAAACGCGTGGCTCATTAGTGCCTGCGATCTGGTCCAGTGTGATCTGCAAAAAATAGTGCATGCAGCATTTTTTACCCTGCACCGGAACAGTGTGAACACAGCCCAGAAATACCATAGGAATACATTGGGATGCATTTCAGGTGCAGACAAGAACTGTTCTGGTCAGGACATGGTGTGAACAAGCCCTTAAAGACAGGTAAATTGGGCCTCCACCCCCTTACATCCAAACTGGGAAAATACCAGCACAAACTACAACTACAACAACCTAACACAGTGCCAAGGCCAGCAGCATATTTTGAGCTGCCAGTCAGCCATTAAACCATACCTGGTTTAACCTGACAACCTAGATAAACCCTGGTTGAATGTCACTGAACCATTGCTTGCCATGAAAGTCTAAACTGCCAGTTAAGACGAGACCACAGTTCAGTGCGTCTGTATTCCTGGGCAGCCAAGTGCAAAAGTTTGCAAAGTTCTGGGACAGATTCATTACTGAAGATGTGATAGATTTTTAACTCAGAGGCATAATAAAGAAGTAGTCAGGGTCAGGTTTTATTCTGCCACAGTAATACTCTTGAGTAGCTGAGGAAGGAATCTTTGACTCAAGTTGTAACCGTGTAATATATCTGTCACACAGATGGTCTCACTGCCCATGATTAGCACTGTTTTGCCACGCAATAGAATTAATCAATCTGTCTCACTGACTTTTGCTGACAGAGCCAGGTGAAAAATTGTCGATTAAACAGTGACTGCAGCCAATCAGCAGAAGTCACTGTCTGTGTATCCTGACAGCCGTGGGCACTGGATGACACAATACAATAGCCAACAGGGGAGATTCCTCTATCCACACTGCGTAGCTTTAGATGGGGGAATCAAGTGAAAAATCAAAGTGGGGATGGCCACCTTTAGGCCCCTTTCATGTCTGTTCAGATCCACCTGTCAGTTTTTAAAATGATCAGATACCCAATGCATCCCTGTGGGCAGCCGGATCTAAACGGACATGAGTCTGTTCACATCTGAAGGAAAAAAACTATGCACAGGTCCACGTTGGTGGACCAGATTGAAGGTAAGCAGATGTAAATAGACACATGTCCACTTACATTCGACTCCACATAGACCTAACATGGGTGTGTTAAGTTCAGTTTTTTTCCACCATCATAAGTCCCGCTTATCTAAGTTAGTGATAATGAAATCTGCCAGCACAGTAAATACAGGTTTAAGTATCCCAAACAAAACTCCCCCCAACCCCCTTTAAAATTGAAAGTGCAGGGGGAAGAGCAGGAAACAGTTTTGGCTCTGCTTGCTAGAAGGATAGGGGACGTTAGGACAGGAGCATGCGCAGAACGGCCGCCTATCTTGAGGGAGGAGGCGAGTTTATAAAGGAGAGACTGTTCTACAAAGATCCCTACTGATGTGGGCTAATAGATGCAGCCACACATACAGCAATGACGCTCCATAAACTATACACAGCGTGCATAAACAGACAGCGTGACAGCAACCATGAGCACCACACAGCGGGACTACAACCACGGAACACGGTGTTTGATTCCTTCCACTACGCCCTCTTATAAAACCCCACATCCTTCCCTTTCTCACCCGAATAGCAAGAGGTCCCCGATCATTGTGCCACAACAGCAGACACCTCACCACTGCAAAGCTCTTCCGCCTTCCGGTGTTGCCAGCAGCCAAAGGAGACCAATCAGAGCATGGATTTCTGTACAGGTGACACACCAGACCTTTTCTGTTGTCTTCGAAAATAATCCATTTTGGAGAAGGTCATTGAGTGGGGGTAAGCGGGTATGGTCTTCACAAAAATGGCCGTCAATAAACTATACCAATTCACTGTTGTTGAAGGTTTCACAAGACACAATGATACCTCTAGTATCTATATTGCCACTTTTGTCCATTCATTGAGCAAAAACTTTATTTTAGAGACAAACAGAGCTTTCTTTTGGTGGTATTTGCTTTAACCACTTGGTGACCAGGGTGTTAAACCCCCTTTCTGGCCAGACCATTTTTCAACATTCAGAGCTGTGGTACTTTGACTGACATTTATTCCGCCATGCAACGCTGTACTGAAATGAATTTTATACCATTTTTTTAGGACACACAGAGCTTTCTTTTAGTGGTATTTAATTACCACTGGGGTTTTAATTTTTTACTATATAATGAAAAAAGTACTAAAAATAAAAAAAAACTGTTGTTATGAAACATTTATATTTACCCACATTTTTGGTAAAATATAAAAGACGGGGTCACGTCGGGTATATAGACACCAAACATGTCAAGCTTTAAAATTGCGCGCACCTGCGAAATCACAAAAAAAAAACTACCATACCTAAAATTGGCCATAGGCGACGCTTTCAAAGCTTTTACTGCTCATCAGTTTAGTGTTATCAGTGATTAATGGCCCTAAAATTATTGTTTTCACTCTGACGTTTGCGGTGATCTGTAACGTGTGGCGTAATCTTTGTTTTCGCACATAGGCGTGCCTGATGCGTATTGACGTTTATATGTACATGCATGCGGGGGTGGAGGACTCATTTTTTTTGTGTTCTTTTTTTATATGTGACTTTATTTTATTTTTTTATTTTTTACACTTAACTTGATTGCTATCACATAGGGGGATAACACACCCCCTATGTGATAGACAATATACAATTACAGGTCCTCTTTATGGAGACCTTAGAGGTCTCTAAGATCCCTAATGCTACCTAGGGACCAGCAAAGAAGCTGATGAAGCAGAGATCTGGTGGGGGTTTTATTTTTTAATATATTAAGGAAAAATGATCGAATTTTTTTAAAAAAAACAGTTTCCCCTATATTAAATGATAAACCATTTATTATTACCCAATTTTTTGGTAAAATATAAGAGACAGGGTCACGTCGGGTAAATAGACACCAAACATGTCAAGCCTTAAAATTGCACGCACGAACCTCAAAAAACTACAATACCCAAAACTGGTCATTGGCGACGCTTTAAAAGCTTTTTGTCGATTTCCCGCTCTGGCGCATCGAACGCGTATTTACATTGATATGTGCGTAAACGTGGTGGTGGGGGACTTAAAAATGTTTGGGGTTTTTTTTCGACTTTTTTTATATGTGACTTTTATTTTTTTGAACTTTTGTAAAAAAAAAAATTTACACTTATTGTTATTGCTATTACATAGGGGGATAACAATCCCCCTATATAATAGCAAAGGCACACTGACAGGTCTATACAAAACACAAAAATTCCCCGGCCTCGGCCTGCCAGCCAGCCTGCAACCAAACAAGTAGCCCTGTCAACAGTATGCGTTAAAATCAGAGGTTTTAGTTGCACAAACTTTTGGCCAAAAATATGTAGAAGCCACACTGCCGCAAAAACAACGGGTAACAGCTGTAAAGAACGCGCGCGAGCAGAAAAAAAAGCCGCCTGGAGACGGCAACCCGCCAATGCGACTGTGCCGCCCGTCCGTTTTTTCACAAATGGCGGACGGCAACAGGTTAAAGTGTATGTAAAAACATAGTTTTGTTTTAGTGTTGGATTGAATATGGAAGGGATAGAATACATGTCTGTTTTTTTTTTATTGCTGTCTGTGTACCCACAAGGGAGATTAGCTCTCACTACTGATCCTGGTAACCATTGTCTCCAGTAAAGAAAGTCAACAGAAATCCAAACTTATGAGTCGTCACACTAACGTTATGTAATGTTCGGTAAGGAGAAATTTTCCAATGGAGGAACCTGCTATTGTGACTGACCTATACACAGCCCTTCCTGTCAGGACAGGAAGTGATGGGAAATCTCTCATATGGGCACATAAAAACACATGTTTACCGTACAATGAGGAAGGGTAAAAGATCTGATTGTAAGCTCTCACAAACTGAGCCCTCCTAACCATCTTGTCATGATTTGTGTTGTAACCATACTGTCTCTTTTTATATTGTAAAGTGCTGTGCAAACTGTTGGCACCAGTGGCGTAACTACCGCTATAGCGAGCCAAGGGGTCGCTATGGGGCCCAAGGGACAGAGGGGGGCCCAGTCATAAGCAGACAATTACAGAAATGTCCCTTGAAAAAAGGTTGCCGCCGCACCGGCGATCGCTCACGGGCAGGACCGGCTCTAAGCGCGCTCAGGGGGAAGGAGTCACATCCTGCCACTGTCTCCAGACTCTCTTCCCTCACAGAGACATTTGTGTGCTGTCCTTTGAGAGACACCCGCCGAGGAATCTCCCATCATCCTTACATTGTGCAGACTGTCAGGGAGGTAGAAAGCCCAGGCAGTGCCCGAGGCCATATGAACTGTGTGTGGTTCTCCCAGCCCCAGCGGCTGGCAGCTCTCTTCTCATCAGACGGAGCTGCTCTGCTGTCTCTTCCTGCTGTTAGGAGGCCTGAGATCTCTGGGGACAGGGAACCAGGTAATTGAACCTTTCACTGAACCTTTCACTGTATGTTATGTACTGTATATGTACTGAATGAGCCCTGCCAACAGCTCAGGCCTGTATATATACAGTATGTTTATTTATGTATGTATATGTCTACGTATGTATACACACACATATATGTGTGCTATGCTGGCCAGGCTGTTATCCTCTCCCCTGCACCCCCTCAGTGGTTTCAGGTCATTTTCATCTCTCCCTAGTGTTCTCCCTGTCCCATGCTGCCAATTTCTATCCTGGTGTACTACCAAGTGTACACTTGTTAGTACACTCAGCATTCGTGGTATGCCTGGCAGGGTTTGGGAGATGTGCAGCACTAGCGTAGGGCAGGATAACACAGAGTCCAGAGGTCACCGACCTCTATGTTACACTACTGACCTTTGCACCCTGCTTTCCACCGCTGACCTCTGCACTCTGCTCTACACCGCTGACCTCTGCATTGCTGTATAATGTATTGCTGGGATTTGTAATCTTCTATAGTTGGCGGTATTCTGCATTGCTGTGTGATGTACATTATAATGTATAATGCATGCTGAGATTTGTAGCTCCTCTTCAGCTTGGAGTCAGTGGCAGAACTACCAGGGTCACAGCTGCAACCGTGCCCTGGCACTCCAACACTGACTCCAAGCTGTAGAGAGACTACAAATCACAGCCTGGACAGGAGGAAGAGGGCCTCAGTGAGTGCTGACATTTCCATAAAAAGGCCCACCAAAATCCTCAGCACCAGGCCCATGATGCTCTTAATCCGGTCCTGCCCTGCCAGGCAGTCGCAGTGTAGCAAACCAGCGACAAAATGATTTCTTCTTTAGCTCTGAGGCTAGAGCCAGCAGGAGCAGGACTGAAGGTTGGTTGAGGGTAGGTTGCGGAGCAGGGTATTGGAGGCGGTTTGGGGGGCCCCATACAAAATTTTGCTATGTGGCCCTGTGATTTCTAGTTACGCCCCTGGCTGGCTCTATATAAATCCTGTATAATAATAAAAATACTTCTGTGTGTGCCATGTGATCCGTAATCAGCTCTCTCTGCCTACTATAAATCTCCTAGCTTACACTCTTTCTCCTCCTCCAATGGCATACTTGTCCATATTGTCTGATACAGCTTGCTGCCCAAAATTACATTTACTGTGTACATCCAATACTGAATACTAGTGTATTAAAGGAGAACTATGAGGTGAGTGCTTTTCACTCATCCTCATAGTTCTAGCCGACCTGTGACAATTAGACTGTCACGGGTCGGCTCAGTAGATCGGGAAGTGATCGAACACATACCGGTGTTCGCTCACTTCTCGATCCTGTCACGGCTCTCTGCCGTGACAGGGGAGGGACTGGATTCCCCCCTCCCCGCTCCGATACTCCAGCGCTGACTGGCGGAACGGATGAGGGAGGGGGCGGGTACAGCTGGCTCTGCCTCTAGATAGGCAGAGCCAGATGTCACTCACGCAGCTGGGCGGATCTCAACATCGATGTCGGGATCCGCTCTGGCTGCAGCGTCTCAGTATACCGCGAGCTGTAGCTCACGGTATACTGAGCTTAGGGTGACGGGAGGACGCTAGTTTGTGTCCTCCCGTTACCCTAAGGAGAACTGTGGGGAAAAGCCCTGACCCCATGGTTCTCCTTTAAGAAACACTAAGAGGCTAAAATCATTCTAAATCAACCACAAACATCTATTAGTCAATTATAAAGGCCAGTTACTCACAATACATAACTGTGTTGAATGTTAATGGTTTGTGAGGTTAATAAAGTCAACTGTAACTAATTGGAGAAAACCAAGGGTTTGCTAATATTATACGATAATTAAAGTGTATGCAAAGGCAAATGTATGTATTTTATTGCACTGTGTCCCACTGGGGATGTTTACACCACTTTTTGCCATGGTAAACACTATCACAGAGGCAGAAAAGTAAATGAAAATCTAGCATTTTAGGTTTCAATTCAAACAGGTAAAGTGACATTAAACTCAGGAGTAAAATGTAAAAAATGCATTCAAGTACCCTAACTAATAACAAAAAATGTATCTTATTTTTCAGTGTATGTTGTAAAGTAGCCACCGCTTCAAGCTTGCACTCGTGATGGACTACAATCCAGTCCATTGTAGTCCATTGTAGTCAAGTAAAGATGAGATTGTAGTCCATCATGGGAGTCAGCTTGGAGCGGTGACTACTTTACAACACACAGGGACCATGGGGAACAAAAGTAGCCCCCCTCCAGAAGGAAGGACAGTGTCAGCACCAATTCAGAGATGATTTGAGGATCTATAGCCAAGTGATACACAAATG